GGGCCCTGAGACCACTGCCACCCTGGCACGGATGTGGTGGGTCCTGGCTGGAGCAGACCACACACTCAGCTTGGATAGCAGAGGCCAACACTAGACTGCTCTGATCTTTAATTCCTGCGGAGGGAGGAGGGTGACGGTGCCCAGATGGTGAGTCACTATTGTTTCATCTCCCTCTGAACAGGCTCCCCCCATGGGCTCTAGTCACGCTAGGGAGGAGTGGCCATGCTGGGCAGTCTCACCAGAAGAACATGTGTATGCTTGTGTTTGGGTGTTTGTATGTGTGCCAAAGAATGGAAGGGCCAGAGTGATCCTTCCTGAGGTAAAGAGAGACCTTCTTTTCTGAATTAGGGGGGCTTGACTGCCCTGAGCCTGCCTCTCCTCCCCCAAAGGATTCCAGCACCTCTGGTTTATGACTATCAAGTTGTTTCACAGCCAAACTGAAGTCTGTCACAAGGCAATTACCTGTGAGACTGTGATCAAGCTGGTTAGGTGACAGTCCTGCCTTCACCTCCCTGCTAATGAAGGTGTCAGCATGGACCCAGGGCAGAGTTCTACTGTTCTGTTAGGAACATGAGGACAGAAGGTGACTGGAGGGACAGTGAGGTGTCTGTGTCACTGCCCAAGACCTTGGTTCTGTCAGCCACCCATGAGATTATTTTTTGACTTCACTCTGAATCAGCTGAACTTTTGGTTCTTTCTTGCACAAGGGGAAGGAAAGAGGTCTCAAATGTCCTTGGGAAACTAACTCTTACAAGGATCCTTCTCCTTCACCTCAGAGGAGATGAGGATATTCGTTGTCTTTGGGGGGTTCTTTCAACACCAAAACAGTGGCCAAAGCCAGACCCGTCGGCCAGATGAATTTATCCATCTCAAATGAAGACACCACACACCCACACACTCCTCCCCAGATGGCTTGCCTTTGCTTCCTGCCTCGCCCTGGGAGGCATCCAGCTAGATCCCACCCCTCACTCCTACCCATGCCCACACCTCTATTCCTACCCGCAGCCAGACTCTGGGGAATGTTCCTCACTCACATTACTGCTATCTCCATAGGAAGTCTCTATCCTGAGTCAGGGACTACCTGGGGTGGGCTTGTTCTTGTCTGTAGCTGTGGGTGCATGGTGGGCATAGGCAAGAGTTTGTGGAGTGAGGGAACCTTCTGAGGAAGAAAGGAGCTACTATAGCCACCAAAAAGGTGGCAGGTCTGTAGCTTCCTGAAGGTGAAGTTCCCATTGAGCCACCTGCAGCATGTCGTCCAAGACTGTCCTGTTTTATTCTAGAAGTAACTGGATCTACTTCTAAAGGTGATAGGAAAGGGCATCTTGAACTCTATACCAATGGAATGACATAACTGCTGAAGGCCTTAGAGACTGGCAACTGCCTGACACTTTGTCACCAGAAAGTACCAAATGGACGTGTGGTTGATAGAGCTAACCCTGACCCCCAACCTGGCCTTGCTTGGGCTCTAATGAGCTTCAGGAACAACTACAATGGTGTCGGGAGAGAAAAGCCTTTACCTGTGTTTTGACCAATGTATGGACAACCACATTATTATTGTACATACTTAAACAGCTGTAGTTTTCTGGCAGTTATCACTGCATTTGGGGCAAAGTTTCATAATCCTCAGTATATCCTCAGGGTCCACTGGATCCAACTTTAGGTCTGTTGAGCAGCTCTTAATTTCATGACTTTTATTCTTTATTAGAAGTCTTCCAAAGAACAAAGAGAAAATTTACTCATGTTTAAAGTCGAATAAAATTCAGTTTGTCTTGCAATTATCATATGAGTCTATTTAATCCTTATCTAAATCTAAGATGCATTATGTAATTTTAGTGATTTTTTAAAAATCTTGAAAACAGGTATTTTATCATCCTATGAATTATTTCAAAATTCATCATTAAGGACACTCAATCTTGTCAAAAAGACTAACAGAATAATAAAACAAAAGAATGAGGGAGCACCTAGAAAGATGGTACAATAAAGAAATAGAGTACCTCTCTTTTCTTGTCCTTTAGCTTTCTTATTTCACTGCCAAAGCCCTTCATTCTCTTTCAAGAAGATAGAAAGAATACAAAGGAAGATTGTCACTGAGGTCTGCTCTTACCCTTATTCTGCCAAGCCTACTGTGTTATTAAACACAGTTGAGAAATCAAGCATTTTAATTTTCCTCCCATAATATTAAAGAGAATATACTGATATACAGAGATGTTTAACAATTACTGGATGAATCAAAAGATAATTGCAATGACAGAACAGTGTTATACAAAGCTAGGATGGAAATGGTTTACATCTGTGCTATCCAAAATCATGGCCACAAAACACCATATGGTGGCTGGCTATTGAGCTTTCAGGATGTGACTTAATTTTAATTTTGCTTAGTTCAAATTTAAATAACCACATGGGGCTAATAGACATGGTATTGTATAACACAGCTCTAGACTCTAATAGTTACAATAAAATGGACCATATAAATGAAATTGAGTAGAGAAATGGACACTATAAAAAGAACTAAAAAGAAATTCTAGATCTGAAAAATGCAGTATCTGAAATAAAAAATACATCTGATAGGCTTAGTAGAATAAACACTGAAGAAGAAATGACTGGTAAACTTGAGGACTCACTCATTGCTGTCTAGCAACTCTTATGACCCTATAGGACAGAGTAGAACTGTCCAGTAGAATAAATACTGAAGAAGAAATGACTGGTAAACTTGAGGACTCACTCATTGCTGTCTAGCAACTCTTATGACCCTATAGGACAGAGTAGAACTGTCCTATGAGGTTTCCAAGGAGCTCTGGTAGCATAGTGCCTAAGGCACTTGACTGCTCACCAGAAGGCTGGCAGTTCAAACCCACCAGCCACTCCTCGGAAGGAAGGTTGGGCAATCCTACTTCCATAGTGATACTGCCTCGGAAACCCAAGGAGGGGTAGCTATGAGTCGGGGCAGACTTGATGGCAAAACAACAACAGCAACAACAATGAGGTTTCCAAAGCTGTAATCTTTATGGAAGCAGACTGCCACATCTTTCTCCCACAAAGAGGCAGGGGGTTTGAATCACCAGTCTTTCAGTTAGCAGCTGAGAGCTTTAGCCACTGCGTGATTATGGCTCTTAACTTGAAGATGGGCCAATGGAAATTATCCAAAATGAATCAAAGAGATGAGAAGTAAACAAAAACAAAAAGCGAGGAAAAACTAAGCAGAACATCATTTAGCTGGGACAACACTAAGCTGTCTAATATGCATGAGCATACCAATGATCATGAAGGTGGTGCCAGACTAGGTAACATTTTGTCCTGTTATGCATGGGGTCACCCTGAATCAGAGCCAACTCAATGGCAGCTAACAGCAACAACAATACACATGCACTCTTAGTCCCACATGGAAAGGAGAGAGAGAAAGTGCAAAAACAAAACAAAACAAAAAAAAACAAACACTGCCATCGAGTCAGATCCAATTGATACCCACACACACATATATATATGTATGAAGAGGTAATGGCCAGAAGTTTACCAAATTTGATGAAAAAGATAAATACAAGATGTGAGGCATGAATTCCCACAGAGCACTGAAGAAGCTCTGTGAACTCCAATCAGTTAAACACAGAAATTATATAGAAACTGCTGAACACCAAATATAAAGAGAAAATCTTAAAAGCAACTGGAGAAAATAAGACATGTCACCTACAGGAGAACAATGGTAAGAATAATAGCTTACTTTTTATCAGAAGCAATGCAAGGCAGAAGATGATGGAAGGACATATTTTAAGTGTTAAAAGAAAAAATAATCAGCCTAGAATTCTACATCCAGCAAAAATATCCTTTAGAAATCAAGGTGTGGGTAGATACATGATAAAGCAAGTAGGTACAAGCAAATAAGTAATAAAATGTTACTTGTAGAATCTAATTGGTGAGTATATGAATGCTCACTGTAAAACTCTTTTAAATTTACTGTGCATTTTTTTGTGCATTTGGAGATTTTCATAATAAGATTTTGAGGAAAAGAAACAAAGGTGAAATAAGGGGATTTTCAGATAAACAAAAGCTGAGAGAATTTCTCACCAGCAGTGCTATATACACAAGAATGCAGAAGAAACTCCTTGGGAAGTTCCAACAGGGGATAAGTTGTGCTCGGTAGTGTTACCCAAGTCACTGAATACAAGTTCCAATTGCAGGAAGGGGTTAAAATATATATATATATTATATCTTTAAGCAACAACAAAATTAATTACTAAGTAGGAAAGAACAGAATAAGACAATGGCCACTGCACTGATAGTTTTGGAAAAATCAATCTTCAAGAAGGTAAGAAATTTATGACTGAAGAAATCATATTCAAGTTCACCTCTTGGCTTTAGAAAAATGGGGACTTTTTTCTGAACCAGAGCTCTACAGATGGAGGAATCCCTGGCTTTCTCACAAGAAGCAACAGAGGAAAAGGCTGGTCAAGCTAAAGACTTTTCTTCCACACTTTGTTCTATGAAAAGGTTGATGCCAGAAGGAAAATCTGAGCCCGACTCCTCCTGTGAGCAGTCCAACAGTCTGAGTAAGCAAGGTGGGACTGAGAGTCTGCCCTGTCAGCCTCCTGTTCCTGTTCACCCAAGTACCTGCATTGAGCACTATGCCTCCCACCTCTGCCTGGCAGCCAAAATGCCTGCAGCTTTTGGTTGGACAGAGGGTTAGATCCAAGTGCGCATGCACTGGGTCTCCAGTGGAGGCTTGGCTAGTGTGAGTGTGGATGCCTTTTGTATCCTGCTTTGGTACAAAAGTATATATAATAAAAATAATGATAAAAATATAATAAAAATAATGTTAAGCAGCAGGGGCCCAACATCCACTATTTGGTGGACGGGTCATCCTCACATTTTCCCATGGCCTGATGTGTCTGCATTTATAAGCAAGTTCTAAATTAGAAAATAACACAATGAAAACTGAAAAGATGGAAATTACATTTAGGAAATTATACTTTATTAAGAACTGCTTTGGAACTGCCAGTGACACTTACCTGAGAAGTAGTCCTTCACCTTCAGGTAGCCCACGATGAGCCTGAGGATGGAGAGCTTGTCCAATCGGGCCCGCACATCCTCAGGGAAGGGCAACAAGTTGGTCAGTTTGCTCAGCTCCTGATTTAGGCGGTCACGGTGCCTTTTAGAAGGGTTGGACTTGGTTCCTTCAGGAGGCTGTGGCTTAGGACTTGGAGGAAAGAGAAAAGTGGTCATTGTCATACTTTCCTCTGTAATTCATTCTTGGACTCAGTAACCTCCACAGGGGCTCCAATACTGTGGTGTTTGTATGACACATATGACCCAAATCTCCAGTGCTTTTGAGACAGAACCCTCATCCAACCAGCTGAAGTCCTACCTGTCCATAAGCCCTGTGATTGCTCTAATAGCAGAACTCTCCTCAGCTATAGATGTGCACCCCAGCTGGGTCCTAGACATGTAGAAGGCTCTTTCCCACTGTGTATGGCCACCTCACATGTGTTAGACTTGGTGGCCTTCAAAGCAGCAGGGGCTCAACACCCACTATTTGGTGGATGGGTCATTCTCACATTTTCCTATGGCCTGATGTGTCTGCATTTATAAACAAGTTCTAAATTAGAAAATAACACAACGAAAACTGAAAAGATAGGAAATTACCGTTTGTTAAGAACTGAGTATACACATACATACTCATTCACACACACATTTATATGCATACATGTTTTCTCTATATATAGATAGATGCATCTCTCTATATACATATATATATGGATATAGCTATACTCTTCTCTTTCATTATATCGATTCATTTGTCTATCTACCATCTACCTATCTATCATCTTCCATCAAAATGCTGTATGTGGGAAAGAATAATTCCCTTGAGGCATTTAGTCAATCTACAACTCCTCTGTCTTTATTCGTATAGGTTTCTCCTCTCAGTTTCAGTTTCAAGAATTTCCATAGTTCCCATAAACACAAATATGGAAAAGATTTCAAGTGTGGCTTTGTAAGAGTGACTGCTGGAGGATGTCCTCCTGACATTTTGTTCCTGGTCCCACACTTGCCCCCTACGGCCTAGTACTGACCCACATGACAAGAGATCCATCAGTTATTATTTTAGAGATGTTCAGAAGGACTTAATTCTCTGGATTGCATGGCTGAAACTACTTCTACTATCTTATCCAAAAAATAAAACACAGTATCACTCTTCAAACAGCAGAAGCAAGTTTAAAACACTGATAAGCCAAAGATACAATACAAATAATGACAAACATTTAGAAGTCAAATGCTCTACTCAACTTCTAGAAGCAAAAACCAAATGATGTTGTTTCTGGCTCATTTATAAAAGAGCACTGACAGTTCCCAACTAGTAGGGCTGCTGTACAGGAAGCATCCACCTAGGACAAGTACATAGTCAGTGCTTAATATATGTGCAACTTGTGGTAAAAGGATGTTACAATGGTGGCGTCTCTCTCATTTTCAACTGAGTAGTCAGTTCTGGGGATCATCACCAAAGTGGGTGTGAGTGTCACCAAAAAAATGTCAAGAACCAGTCTTATAACTCTCAAGCCCACATTCAGATATAAAAGGAATAAGAAAGAATTTTGTGAAGAGGTTTCCTTGAAACAGAGTTGCACTTTGATCTATCACTCCTCTCAAAGAGAGATGGAGAGACACAGAAGGCTAGAGAGACACAAAGGGCTGGGATCTTACTCCTCTTCAGGTGAGGTACAGCACCCACTCCTCCCTTCTGACAGTGGGTTACAGATGCAGACGATGCAGAACAAAGAGCCCACCAGAGCTCTTCTTTAGTCCTGTCTTTAGTCCTGCCCAGGAGGACTCCAGAAAAGGGTAAGAAGTCATTCCTATGAAAAAGGAAAGAAATCTTCCTCCTTTCCTGAGGGCCGCTCTCTCTTTCTCTCTCTCTCTCTCTCTCTCTTTCTGTGTGTGTGTGTGTGTGTGTGTATAAGAGAGAGAAAGAAAGAGACTCTTCTCTCCCTCCTTATCCAGAAGTAGGTGGAGAGAGGGAAGGAAAGACTATGTTTCCCTCCCACAGCAAGAAAATGATCAGGCCCAAGGTGTGTTTTTGGTGGCAGCTTAAATTAATGTAAGAGTTTTGATAGCTGTGAGGAATCAGGCTTTCTAAATTCTCAATTGAGACCTTTCTCTCAGGATGAATATTAATCTATTACAACCCAAATGTGAGCAAGAAAGGTCCTGGAACCTACCCTGTTTTTGTCCAAAAGAAAATGGTGACTCCTTGAACATGTCTTGAAAGGCCACTGGGGGGGGGGGCAATTTGATCACATTCCCCTAAATGTATTAGTAACAATTTTTCTCTTTCCCAAGTCCTGATAGTTTTAGGGTCAACAGCCATTGTATTTATACTGCTCTGGTGGCATAGTGTCTAAGGCATTTGAGTGCTAACCAGAAGGCTGGCAGTTCAAACCCACCAGCCACTTCTTGGAAGGAAGACTGGGCAATCTACTTCTGTAGTGATACCCCTCAGAAACCCAAGGAGGGGTCACTATGAGTCAGATTCAACTGGACCACAGTGAGTTTGCTTTGGAATTTAAAATGTAAATATTTAAACTCATGATTTCCAACATTCTGTGTCCTAACTATCAAAGAGGCAGAATTACAGAAACTTCCTTTACCGGGAAGTTACGTCAGCTAGAATTTGCAGGACAGAGTTCTGGAGAGAAAGGAGTGACATAGAAAGGGTGCAACGGGAATATGAAAATGGGTTCCCTCAAGTCTTTGGTTGAATACTAAGTTGAACATCAGTACAGTAAGATTCTATGAAATTGGACAAATAATAACTCCCAGGGAAAGAACTACTACTGAAGGCTCTAAGGTGAAAAATTTTCAGAGTTCACCCAGGTATGAGAAACATTCAAGTTCTTACCATCAAGAATAGAGAGACATAGATGAAGATCCATGACATACAGTAGAGACCCTAGAAGGGTCACACCTTCACAGTAGGGCTAAACTATCCCTATAGTAAAACGTACTCTAGACACTCCGTAACTCACTGCTGTCAAGGTCGAATTGATTTAGACTCATAGCAACCCCTCCTTGGGTTCCGAGGTGGTATCACTACGGAAAGATTGCCCAACCTTTCTTCCGAGGAGTGGCTGCTGGGGTTGAACTCCCAGCCTTCTGGGTTGGCAGTCAAACGCCTTAGGCACTACACCATCAGAGCCCCTCAACACTCCATAGCAAAGCTTATAATAAGTCTTAAATGGATGAGGTTATGATCCACAAGTAACTTAACTATCTGCATGAACAAAGCCCAGTGCTCTAAAAGAAGACAGCAAAATAAAACACTGTAAATCCAAAATGTCCACCATCCAATCAAAAATTACTATATATACAAAAAAAAGCAGGATAATATGACCCATAGTGAGAGAACAATCAGTCAATAAAATCAAACCCAAAAATGATAGGAACGATGGAATAAGTAGACTTTAAAATACTTATTATAACTATGCTCAAAGCAACACAGGAACATAATGAGAAATAAAATAGATGTTAAAAAATGGAAATTACAGAGAGGAAAAATATAATATCTGGTATGAAAAATTCATGGATGGGCTTTAAATCAGATTGGAAGAAAAAAACAGTGAATTGGAAGACACAGCAATAGAAATAATACAAACTGAAGTCAGAATGAGAAAAGACTGAAAATAAAATGAATAGAGCCTCAATGACTTCAAGACATATTGTTGTAGGATCCTAACATAGGATCCTACAACAATATGCTTCCATTTTCCTCTCCTGTCCCTTGTGCTATTGTATTCCTACATTTTATTTCTGCATTTGCTATAAATTCCAAAATGCAATGATCCTCAGAAGGAAGGTTGGGCAATCTACTTCCATAGTGATACTGCCTCAGAAACCCAAGGAGGGGTCGCTATGAGTCGGGTCTGACTCGATGGCACATAACAACAACATGTTACCTATAAAGTGGCATATTTGAAGGTACAAAGTTTCAAACACTGAAAAAAATAAACAAATAAGTATAGCTAACATGCCACAAATGGAAATACATAAGATACTAAAAATATTAAATCCAAATGATGGTAAGAAGAAAAATAAAGACAAAAAACAGATGGAACAAATTGAAAACAAATAGCAAGATGGCAGAGTTAAGTTTAATTACACTGATAATTATAAAAATGTAAAAAAGCAGAGAATATTGGACTAGATAATAAACCAAGACCCAATACTACTGTGTCTACAAGAAACATGATTTAAATAAATGTAAAGACCAAAACTATAACCAGAGTTGCAGTCCAGTTGATTGTACTCACAGCAACCCCATGTGTGTCAGAGTAGAACTGTATGTACCCCATAGGGTTTTCAATGGCTGACTTTTCAGAAGTAGTGCACCAGGCATTTCTTTTGAGGTACCTCTGGGTAGACTTGAACCTCCAATCTTTTGGTTATGAGCTGAGTGTATTAACTACTTGTACCACCCAGGCACTCCAAATATAAAAACATAGATAATTTAAAAGTGAAAGGATTGAAAAAGACATATATGCACACACTAACTTAAGAAAGCTGGAGTGGCTATATTAATATCAGAAAAAGACAACATAAAACCCAGAAATATAACCAGAGTCAAAGAGGAGTATTTTCTTTTTTTCAATCTTTTAAAATTTTTGCAGTGTTCCCTCCTGTAAAGAGGGATATTTTCATAATGAAAAAGTCACTTCATCAAGTAGATAACTATCGTTCTGGTTACCTAGTGCTGCTCTGACAGAAATATACCACAAACGGAATGGCCTTAACAAACAGGAGTTTATTCTTATAATTTGGAGGCTTTAAGTCCAACTTCAAAGTGCCAGGCTCTAGGGATTGGGTGAAAGCCCCCCAACCTTGGGGTCCAGCTCTGCCTTCTGCTCCTGGCCCACTGGAACTAGGGCTGTTTCTTCACTCAGACAGCTGCTGGCTGCTGAGGCTGAGAAGCCCCAAAGTTGACAAGGAAAAAGGCACAGTCCTGATATTACCAAACCACACAGCAGGCCATTTACTTAAGTCCATTGTAAGTTCCAAGGTTGGCAGAGCATAGCAGGCTGCTGAGCAACGACATGGCTACATGCAGGGTCCAAGCGTGCCAAAGGCTAGAGACCATTCTCAAGGCTCCTGCTTATATACGGAAAGCAGATCACATACCCAAAGGCAGCTACTCAGCTGCTCACAGTA